TTTTTTTTTTTTTTTTAAGTACAGAATCCACTCTATTGCCTGGGCTAGAGTGCTGTGCGTCCAGCCTAGCTCAGCGCAACCTCAAACTCCTAGGCTCAAGCAATCCCTCCTTGCACCTCAGCCTCCGAGTAGCTGGGACTAAAGGCATGCCCCCCATGCCCGCTAATTTATATATATATATTTTTAGTTGTCCAGATAATTTGTCATTTTGTTAGTAGAATGGTCTCAATCTTGCTGGATGCTGGTCTCCCTCTCCTGAGCTCACACAGATTCTCCTGCTCCCAGCCTCCAGAGTGCTAGGATTACACAGGCATGAGGCCCCATGCCCGGCCTGTGAAGTAGTCTTAATGGCGTTAAAGATCTGTCCTTGTTGAATGGAATTTCTCTGGCAGGGACACACATAGAGGATGGGGAGGCATGCGGGCAAGGCTGTCCCATAAGCTCTAAATCTTTTCTCCAGCTGAGGATCTATTCCGCCTGCGCCTCCTTATATGGGCCTTGCTCAAGCCGCAGCTTCTTGCTCATGATCCATCATCTAGCCTAACTTCGTCCATCCAAGGTACTAACGCATGGCCTGGCTCTGCTAGCTGTCAGGCATCAGGACAGGGTGGGAGGGAGGATTGTGGAGGACAGGATGATTTGAGACAGGGTCTCGCTCTGTTGCCTGGGCTAGAGTGCAGTCATGCCATCACACTCTCACTGCAATGTCAAACTCCTGGGCTCAGGTGATCTTCCTGCCTCAGCCTTGGGACTACAGGAGTGCACCACCACACCCTGCTAATATTTTATTTTTTGTAGAGACAAGGTCCCACTCTTGCTCAGGCTGGTCTTGAACTAACCTGACCTCAAGCAATCCTCCTGCCTTGGTGTCCAAAAGTGCTAGGATTACAGGAGCCAACCACACAGGCCTAATTCTATATATTTGTAATTGTGGTTGTGTTGTATCAGTTATTTTAATTATTTCAAATTTCAAACATGGCTAATTCGATTCAGTCACTTGGAAAACTAAGATTTTCAGACAACAACTTTTTTTTTTTTTTTTTTTTTTTTTTTTTTTTTTTTTTTTGGGAGACAGAGTCCTCGCTTTGCTTGTCCAGGCTAGAGTGAGTGCCGTGGCGTCAGCCAGCTCACAGCAACTCACTCCTGGCTTGAGTGACTTCTGCCTACACGCCTCCCGAGTAGCTGGGACTACAGGCATAGCGCACACATGCCCCGGCTATTTTTATACTATTAATCAGGTTGGCAATAACTTTCTTTCTATTTTAAGTAGAGACGGGGTCTCGCTCTTGCTCAGGCTGGTTTTTTGAACTCCTGACCCTTGAGCATCCCCATGCCTCGGCCTACCACAAGAGCTAGGATTACGGCGTGGACCACAGTCAGCCCGGCCCAGAACAACCTTTTTTAATTGTGAATTTTCTAAACTCGTACATACGTATGTTCTCCCACCCCCCAATTCATGTTAACATCTTTACTCCCAAGGTGATGGTATTGGGAGGTGGTGGGACCTTTAGGGGAGTGACTGGGTCAGGGGACAAAAGCTCTCTTGATGGAATTAGTTCCTTGGTGGAAAAAACAACTGTTTTTCCTCTGCTTTCACACCACAACAACAATCAACCACAGAAGACTTTGTGTTACCCAAACTCGTGGGGTTTTCCCACTATACCAAGCAAACAATCAGTTCTGCTACAGTCACCAGCTGGGACCTCTACCCAGTTCAATTCTGACACTATCCACCTGGAGATTGGTCACATCCCACAGGTTGAGGGCCCAGTCCCACAAGACCACTTCCCATTTTCATTTTTTTTTCTTTCTTTCTTTCTTTTTTTTGAGACAGAGTCTCCGCTGCCAGTGGCAATCAGCTAGCTCGCAGCAACCTCAAACTCCTGGGCTCAAGCAATCCTCCTGCCTCAGCCTCCCGAGTAGCTGGGACTAACAGGCATGCGCCACCATGCCCGCTAATTTCTTTCTACTTTTGGTAGCAAGGGGGTCTTGCTCTGCTCTTGCTCAGGTGTCTCTCGAACTCTGACTCAAACGATTATGTCATTTTTTTTTTTTTTTTAAGACAGAATCTCACTCTATTGCCTGGGCTAGAGTGCTGTGGCGTCAGCCTAGCTCACAGCAACCTCAAACTCCTAGGCTCAAGCAATCCTACTGCCTCAGTCTCCTGAGTAGCTGGGACTACAGGCATGCCCCCCCATGCCCGGCTAATTTTTATATATATATTTTTTAGTTGTCCAGATAATTTGTATTTTGTTAGTAGAATGGGTCTCAATCTTGCTGATGCTGGTCTCCATCTCCTGAGCTCACAAGATCCTCCTGCCTCAGCCTCCAAGAGTGCTAGGATTACAGGCATGAGCCACCATGCCCGGCCTTGAAGTAGGTCTTAATGCTGTTAAAATATGTCCTTGTTGATTGGATTTCTTGGCCCCAGGGACACATAGAGGATGGGGAGGGCATGCAGAGCAAGCTGTCCCATTAACTCTATCTTTTCTCCACTGAGGATCTATTCACCCTGCCTCCTTATATGGGCCCTTGATCAAGCCCAGCTTTTGCTCATTGATCCATCATCTACTCTAACTTCTCCCATCCAAGTACTAACCAGGCCTGGCTCTGCTTAGCTTCTAAAATCAGACACGTTCTGGGTGGTATGGCCATAGAGTAACTTCTTTTACACCTGAATCCTGGTTGCTCTTCACATCCTGCCCCTCCACCAATCCTCCCTCCCAACCCTGTCCTGATGCCCCACAGCTCTTAGCTAAGTAGATGCCTTTATTTACATCCAGAGGAGAGGCAAAGGGGAGGGGCTTGTCCAAGATCATGCCACATGCAGAGTTGAGTCTCTGTCCAATCTAAGGCAGAGGCTCTGTGGCACATCAGGATGGGCGTGGATCAGGCCCTGACAGGCTCGCTTCCCCATCTTGCTTTGATTGGAGGCATGGAGTGTGGCAGTAGGAGGAGGTCCCAGCACACTGGGTCAGGGGCTTGGGGGCTCAGCGAGCAGCTGAGACCAGGCCTAGAGGAAAGTGAGGTGGGTAGAAGCAGGGACGCCACAGCTTTCCTTGTGCTCCTCAAACAGCTGCTCCAGAGCCTTCATGTAGACGGTCAAAAAAAAAAAAAAAGAAGCATGGAATTCAACCTAAATTCCCTTCAACTGATGAGTGGATAAAAGAAAATATGGTTGTATGTATGATACATATATCAATATGTATATACACATACCATATTGTAAATGTGTATGTTGATATGTATATTAAATAATCATAATATATTAATATATAAGAGTATATATACACACTATGGAATACTACTTATCGATAGAAAGACTGAAAATAATGTGTTTTGCGCAACTTGAATGGGACTGGTGGCCATTATCCTAAGTGAAGTAACTCAGGAACAGAAAAACAAATGGTGCATGTTCTCACTTATAAGTAGGCTAAACTACAGCTTCACAAGAGCACGCAGAGTGGTATAATGGACATCGGAGACTCACCAGGTGGGGAGCATGGGAGGGTTAAGGTTGATCACCTATGGAGTACAATGTACACTTCTCGAGTGATAGGTGCACCAAAAGCCAGACTTCACCACTTTATGACATATACCTATAACGGAATTCAACTTGAAACCCCTAAATCTACTAAAATAAAAATACAAAAACAAGAAAAATTAACTTAAAATACAAAAATTCATTTCTCAGTTGTAACCAGTCACCATTTCTGGTGCTCCATAGCTATCGTGTAGCTAATGGTACCACCTTGGACAGGGCAGACAGATCCAATCACCACGCCACACACAAAGCAGAAAAGAGAGGAACGTGTTAAACAACAACATGGGGAGAGTAACCAGCAAAATCCAGAGGCAGGAAAATTTGCAAGATAAACAATCTCATGTCTTCAAAAATAGTTGCAAAAGAGAGCGATATAGAGGGAACCCAATATGAAAAGAAACCTAAAATGCATACTAAACTGCATCACTTACCTGTTACTACATAATTTACCCCAAGCCTAGCAGCTTAAAACAACAAACATTTATTATCATACAGTTTCTGAAGGTCAAGGATTGGGACCTCAGGCCATGAGGTTGCAGTCAAGCTGTTTGACTGGGTTTTGCCATATCTCAGGGCTCAACTCGGTGAGGGATCAACTTTACTGGTGGTGGTTGTTGGCAGGTCTCAGTTCCTCCTTGTTCTTCATTTGATGGGTTGCTAGCTATGCCGGGCTTATCTGAGTTTCTCAAGACAGGGCACGGTTTCCCAGAACCAGAGAGCTAGGACGACAGACAGACAGATAGTCAGGGAGGGATGTCTAAACAAAAGCTGCAGTCTGTTCGTTTTAGAAGCAACAGAACTCATATCTCCCTATGGTGGTTAGTCACATGGTACAATGTGGGAGGGAATAGCACAAGGTGTGAACACAGGAGGTAGGATCATGGGGCCATCTTGGCTACTGGCTACTCACATCAACCCATCCCGAGTTTTGACTCATTTGGATCCCGATTCAAAGAACAACCTCCTTAAAATTGCATTTATGAGGTATTTGAACACATGCTTGCTGTTTGATAATAGTTTAAGGCATTACCATCAATAGTTTATGCAGGATAATGATATAGAGTTTTTGTGTGTGTGTGTGTGCATGTAAGTGGTTGATGTGCTTGAGGATAATGATGATTGTGGCTGTAATTATTTTAAGGCATTTCTGTAGCTTTTACGAGAGCCATATAGAAATGTTTACCGGTGTCCCAGCTGAGGAGCGAACATCCGCTGGCGAAGCCCATGCGGATCTCACCGCAGCCTGGTTTTTTAGAATTTTCAATTATAAAAATGGGCAGAATTTCTTGATCATATTGTGGTTACCGGATCTGTTTTCTTGCAAACGTGATCGATCCCGATCAACGTTTTGAACTCATCTCCACGTCATCACAGGCGCCATGGCAGGGCATTTCTTTTTAACAACGGTAGTAACTGCAGGTGCAGAATTCAAGATCGGTCATGCTCCACTGGCCGCCACGTGGTCGAGAGATGTGAGCTGCAAAACCTGGCAATGCAAAACTGGGATGGATCTATTGAGTTTGCCACTGAAGGCACGCAGCAAAAGGCCGTGTGTCCTGGAAGTGCTCTAGTTCGAGGAGAGTGAGGGTTTGAGGGAGCATGACCATTCTGATAACTCTTGGAAGAAAAAGAGGATAAATCCATCTTTTCCAGGTCTCCTTCACTGAGATCAAAAATCTACTTACATACACTTACTGCATCAAGAGTCAGATTCATGAACTGCGGAACAAGAGAGGTTGTGAGAATCTAGATGAACCTTCCTTCCTTTCTTTCTTTCTTTCTTTCTTTCTTTCTTTCTTTTAGTCTTCTTTTCTTCTTCTTTCTTCTTCTTTCTTTCTTTCTTTCTTTCTTTCTGTCATTTTACATCCAACAGGAGTGTGTGGAGAGAATATTATGCAAGATGCCGTTAATTTTTTCCCCTATGTTACTTCTTGGAGAAAAAGAGTCTGTCTGCAGCTACTTGGGTGGGCTATGTAAGGAAAAAAATCTGGGCAAATCATAGAGTGGAAAAAATGTTGTGATGGTGAATTTTGAAAGGAATATGTCAAGAGCATGTTTTTAAACTTAAGTGGACTTCATTTAATTTTTTTTTAAAAAACCCAGCTTATTTCACTTGGATTTGCTAGCTCAGGAGAAGAGATCCGATCTGGTGTGCCCCAGTGCGAAAAGGCTCAGGTGTGTAGCAATGGCTTGTGCTGGCCAGTGGTGCCAGTATTCTTGCTGGAGATGAGCCACAGCACCAGAGCCATTCTTCCTTGTCAGTCTTGACCAAAGATGGGTCACCATTCCTAGTTATTTGTTCACCACATAATTGGTGTTGATTGGAAACATTTTCTGAAATTTGGCAGAACTGCTTGGTTTCTTTTTCCATGTAAACTTAAGCATAAGTTAATAAAATTAAAGTAATAGTTGGATGTTAAAAGAGAATGTTTACCAATGGACCAATGACAGAAGATGTCTTAAATTTGTTTAAAATATCAGGAGAGATGGGAAGTAGCTTGCTGCATGGATAAAACAGGTATTAGTCAGGAGTTGATAATTATTGAGGCTGGATGATTTGATTCTTGGGGCATCCCAAGATTTAATTAAAATTTTAATTAATTAATTATTCAGATGGACTGATAAAAATGCAATATTACAACTTGATTCTTGTAAGATACGGTTTCTCTACTTTTTGGTATGTTAAATTTTCTCCGGAATAAAATGGTATTTTTTATGGCCAAGTAGTTGAGGCTGCTTCGTGGGCAGAAATGCAACACCCAAGTCTGTGGAAGATGACACTAATCGGCTTGTTGAAGTTAATGGAATGGCATTGTCAGCCAGCTGTTGTTGTGTGAATGGAGGAGAAAAAGCCTATTTATTTGGGAGAGAAATGTGAGAATTTCACGGTATAGCAAGCACATAAGTCATACTTTACCATCTAGAGAATACAGTGTGAGCTGGGCTTGCATATGGTTCGGTTAGGATAGTATGAAGTTTGATTTTACCTCTACTCAGTTGGGTGACCTGAGATAATAACGTTCACTGTCCCCAAACTGCAGAAATAGATGAAGTGCATTCATTCAACACTGTTCATGGGAGCACCTTACTATGTGCTGAGAACTGAACCTAAGTAACAAGATGCATAAAGAGTAACTATGACATCATTCCTGTTCCAAAGAGTTCATGGTTGAGCGTCAATGGTTTATCTCTTCTTTCACTGATCCAGAAGCTCCTGTGAGTGTTGCCTAGGTTCTGACCATCCTGACTACAGAATAAATGAGAGGGTATGCGCTGAATTCCAAAGTACAAATGGTAATGCCACCCCATTTGTGAATTACTGCTCTACTTGGCCAGATAGTATACCTACCATTAAATTGAATTTCTGTGCCAGAAATGTGTTGTGCCAGGCACTTGACATACATTACCTTATGCATCTTACTGGAAGTTAGCCCGTGCTATGTTCGCTTCTTCGAGATGAGAAAACCATGACTTATGACCCCCAGTGAGTGGTGTGGCATCTGTTGGCAGCGGCCTTTCTGGATGAGCTGAATGGATTCTTTAAGGTGCTATAATTCTGAGTACCTTTTAGGCAATCATTTGGCTCTGTGACTTTGCCAATTATTTTAACCCTTTGATCTTTGGTCTCCTTCCTTTATCTGCAGAATGAGCTAGTTGGTGAAGTTGTAATCATTGAGGCATCCAGCTCTTTTCCTGAAAGCTTCACATCCTTTATTTTGGCTGCTCTCATCGAGTGCTGATGCTCCATAGATAGCCGAGACAGCCTGGAAAATCAAGATGTTGATTCATAGATTGGGAATTTTGCCCAGATAGACAGGTCACTGGATGAAATGATAAAGGAGCACGAAAGACTTAGTCATGGTCTCACAGCTGGGGAAGGAGAATAGGATCCCAGGAGGAAACACTCAATCCAAAACTCTGTCACCCGGATGCAGAGATCTTCTGGACTGTGGAAATAAGGTTCAGGTGGCTCATTGTGGGTGCAGTGGGAGAGGAAGGTGGGGGGCCAAGAGAGTATACTAGGAGAGGTGGTCCAAACTGAAATGACAGGGACCAAGCTATACCACTAAAGCATACCTGGCCAAGAGGTACAAACAGACTTTCCCAATAAAAGGCCCAAATGAACAATCCATTCACCTGGAGTAAAAGCCAACGACAGTGGACCCAAAGTAAGTACCAGAGATATTCACAAAATTTAGAGCAAAGAAAGGGACATTATTCAGTAGCACTTGACACTCCACTTGGTGCTTGTATAAATTCGCAAAGTACTTTCACATGCTTTGTTCATTTGCCCTCTGGAGGATGAGGGCAGCGGAATCTGGAGTTTGCATGCTAGGACCCCGTCAGCTGTGGATCTAGCCCATCCACCCTCTCAAAATGACTTTCCTCATCTGTAAGTGACCAGACAAGCCCACCGACCCTTTCAGTGTTGTGGGATTAAGCCAAAGTACTTTGTAAACATTCTGGTGTGGTTCTTGGTTCAACCCTCCAGTGTAGGTACAGGTGGCCTGAAACCCAGGCCTGCCCAGTGGGGTCTCTCGCTTGGCCAC